TTAGCTATATGATTTTTTTTTTATCCTTAGCCTGATATGTTCTTGCAGGGTCTATCCATGTGTATTTTAACATATACAAAAATCTATGATACCTACATGAAGACAAGTAAGAAAAAATGCCACTAGAAAGCAATAACAATTGCTTAGAGCTGGAGAGCAAATGGAATCAAAACGGCCTTGGCAGTTAAGGAGAGCTAGAAGATGACAAAATAGAAATGTAGCCAAAAGTAAGGGTAACTGTTATTGGTGCATCTGTATGGATGCTTTTTCTTGCTCAAAAATTTTAGATGCATGGGTGATTTTTTTTTCTTTTTTGGGGGGAGTAAGTTTTCTATAATCCAGCCATTCAACAGCCTCAAGACTCAAGACATCTGCCTTGGAGATGTACTCATGTTTTGACGAGCTTTAAAGCATCATGGGTTTTGACATAATGTTGAAATGAAATCTTTGATGCTTGACAGCTGCTGGCTGCATGGAACGCTCTTTTTTTATCCTTCCCCCCTGCCTTTTAGTATGATGTTTACTACACATTATAAGAATGTATGCCATTTTGAAGAACAGTTTTAATTCCCTTTATCCAAAAAGCTTTCTGTAAAAGTGATAAATTCATAGGAGTTAATGTCCTTTTCCTGAAGAATGCTGGCAATTTTAACAGCTGTATATGTATGTGTGTAAAAGCTCAGACTAGGGATAAAAGGCTGCATGAAATTTTGCACATGGTAGCAGAAAGATGCCATCAGATGTAGTACTGGAACTGACACTATCATCTTGGCATCCCTGACCAGTGCTCACTGTATATTAGAGAGGAGCTGCAGTTGTGAGGCTGTCAGCTTCCTAGAAACAACAGGAAATGTCCCACTGAAGCAGTTGCAAATGCTGTTACAGTGCTGCTAATGTGAGCTGTAAAGCCAGATGGTATGGCTCATGTGGCTCATGCACGTGGGTGAGCAGTACAGGAGCAGTACCATTGTCACAGAATTTCCATGGCCATGGAGACTTGAGGGAAGGAGTTTGGTCATGTAGCATTGGAGTGGGTAACTCATGTTGGCAGTAGTGGCTGCCTTCTCCAATCTGTAGTGATCACAGATCCAGTTATGACTGATGGTTCACACTGATGCTATGACAGCCCTTAGGCCAATTTCCGTGCAGCATTTTATTTTGTGTTTATTAAATGTGTCATCTCCCCAGCTGCTCTTCACCAGCAATAATCACTTTTCACTTGATCTAAATGAAAAGAATGGCGACCACTGCCTTTATGCAGCGGTGGTAGGAACAATAAGAAGCCAATGTCCAAGACTGTGGAAAAGCCAAAACTGCACTGAAACTGATGGGATATGAAATGTCAGAGGCAATGCTTGGGGTTCAGCTGGTTTACAGGTGTCCATGGATGAGACAGCAGTGAACAAAAAGGTAAATGAATAAAGAGAAGCAGACATGGCAACAGGGATCGTGGAGATGCTCACAGAGTTTAGATATACAGTACTTCATGGAAGGGCAGACTTACATTTCAAGATAATTATATTCACCTTTGGTACTTTTTTCCCCCATTTTGTTCAATAAAACAGGACTTCATACACATTCTTTCCTTCTCCAAACAGGAGCAAATGAGCAAGGACACAACTGCTTGCAAACTCTCAGACAAATGGGAAACCAACTTTCTTTAATTTAATCAAGGTTCAGTGTGTATGGGAGGCTTTCAAATGTGCCCAGGCCTCATCACTACTTTTGGGATCACTCCTGTGAGCTGCTGAAAACTTTGCCCCTAAGCCAGCAATATGATAAGATTGTGTGAGGGTTTTTAAGTGTGCAAATAGTCCTATGGCTTCCATGGGACCATTTACATGTTTAAATTAAATGTGCTGAAGTGCTTCACCACTGCAGAGACAGAATGCCTGATACCATGTAGGACTGAGTCCTTGGAAATCTAATTAATGTATTTCAGTGCCAAAAAGGGGATAAAGGTCTTTTGAAAGTCTGTCTGCTGAGTTAGGTGTCTAAATGTTGAATGCTGAATTTTCCTGAAAATCTAGCCTTTAAATATCAACCCTGATAATTTTTACTGATAACCAGTTTAACAGAAACACATGGTCAATATTTTTAATCCAATCCTACATGCCATTGCACATCCTAAGGTGAAGGATTTAATATGAACTAAACAGCATATTGGCTGCTGTAGTTTGTTTATTTTGTAGATTTAGACAAGCAAATGTAGGTCTGTTCCAAACAATGTAAATCTAATGTTTAATTAAATTTAAACACCACGCATTTTGGAAAATGAAACTGTCTTTGATTTTTAAAATAAGTCTTTCCAGTATGTCTCCAAATGAATTTGCAGTAGTAGTCAATGTGATTGATAGATTATGTCACACTTGTGCTCGTGCACATAGGGCCTCAGATCTGGTGCTAAACCAGTATTAACCTTTGCTCTACTTGTGTCTGGGAAACACTGTACTGCTAACTGCTATTTTATGAATGTGGCTAAAGCTGTATTTATCATGCAAGGTTTACTGGTTGTGTTATGCTTACAAATTTCCATAATTAAGACTAGAAATTCCATAGTTACAGCTGCAAATGAGAACCATTTTTTCAAGAGCTTATTTTGACTGTTGAATTTGCAAAAAGGGGATTTTTTTGGTGGTAAGGGGGCCAATACCACTTCAGGTACTCCAGGATTTCTATGGGTCTACCATAATTCTTTCCTACTTTTAACAAAGCTGCGGCAGTGAAAGTTTCAGTTTTAGGCCAGTCTGTTTTGTTTTAGTTTTCTTGAGATTCTAGATGCTACCTTGTAAAATGGCCACCCATTGTGGAGTTTCTTGGAAATGGAATATGAAACTGCATTTTACTTGACTATCCTTAATATGTACTTAAAATATAAGCAAGATGGAATAACTTTATGGTTGTTTTATATAAAAAATGAGGAAATCTTAGTATTATGCAGTAAAATCATGATTATAAGCAAACAGTTAAAGCAATTCTTATTTTTTCTTACATAAAAATTATTACCCCGTAATATAAAAGATATTTATGAGCTTTATTAATCAGCAACCTATGATTTGTGGTTTATGACAATCTTACAATCACAGAGGTTAACTCAGTGGCATAGGAATTTCTCTAATGCATCAGAAGCGGTTCAGGCTTGTATTTTTGCCACTAAGAAGTACCGTCATTGGTATTTTCTAGAAATTTTTCCTCTATGAGTGATAGTCAAAAATAAAAAAAGGAGAAGTGAAGTCTGGATAAATCTTTAACATGGCACAGAGTGCAGTTCAAGGTGTTACCAGGCTGAAGACATCAGGACCAATTCAAAGTTTGTGTCCTGTGGAAGGAAAAAAAATCCCCTACTGTAGTAATATTTAAATTCAAAAAAGGCAAACACATAAAACCCAAGAAAACTTCTTGAAAAGAAATTTAAAAGAGCAACCAACAGGGTAAAAATGATTGAAGACCCTACATTAGAGGCTCAGAGTGACAGTGTACCACCTGTCAAATGAAAAATTTAGAAAAGAACCTTTCCCTAAACCCACCTTGACCAGCAGTACAGCAACAAGATATGACCCAGAAGTGCAAATGACAGATCAGCAGGACAAGATGAATTACATCCCAGGATTCACAGTGCTGTTGCCAGAGTTCTAGAAGGACTTGAATATGGCAGTTTAAAATTATTAGTTACAGTGTGAAATTTACGTTCTAATCAGCCTGAGGCTGACAAATGGTCCTGATATCTTTAAACACTTCTTATCTTCTTATATGTTTTCTTGAAAAAATAATGATAAAAAAGGTAATTAAAAGCTTACCCAATGATTCAGTCTAGCAAACCATACATATCTCAAACACTACAGACATATGCACTATTGATTCTCTATTTAAAAACTGGCCATGTGAATTTAATTTAAAGGGCCTGAGGCCCTGCCGTGTTGCTGAATAAACATCCAACAGTAATAATATGTTTGCTATATGAGTACCAGTGCTAACTTAATTCCACTTTAGGATATCAAGAATCACAGACACCTTCTTCCCAATTAATTGATGTGTTTAATTTGTTTGCTCAAGTAACACAATACTTTGGATTATAATAGAGACCAAAAGGTCTCAAACCGCTCGTTCCCCAGAGCAAGGCAAGAAATGCCGAAGAGGCCTAAACATGTTGAATGCTCATCCTGAAAAACAGCTAGTTTTCTGCAATTTTTGACAACAATTTGCTGACATGAAAACTGACTATTATTTAGTTCTTTTGGAATGCTCTTGTACTGTGAATTCTTTAGTTTGCATGGAGGAAATATCTAATGGTAGCAGGCTGCTTATTTTGGACAATGTAAAATGACCTGCTGTAAGCATCTTAAATGAAATGCTGGCTGAATAATCACGAGATTAATTACAATTCTGAATAATTTTCTACTCTGCCTGCCATTTGGTAGCTAGCAGACATAGTGTTCATTGGTGACTGGTTTTGTGGTGCATGCATGTGCATCCTCTGAATATTAGTAAAGTAAACTTTCAAGGTGGGTACTCATTATCTTTCGGAAGTAATTTTAGTGGGTAAACTGATAAGTCCACCTCATCTGAATGGTATTATAAAATCTCAGGGTACTGGAACTGTTGAAATTGAACCTGTCTAATATTAAAGACTTCTACTTAGGATGAAGGCAACAGGTGCTAGGTCTTTCCCTTCCTGCTTCCATCTGACTAAGGTCAAAACTTTATATATATATGAGCTGTCTGATTTTTTTCTTCTTAAACAGAAGAATCTATAACTTCATAAAAACAACATAATGTAAAGTTTCATTGTCCCCAGGATACTTCAATATCAGTTTTCTAATTCTTAGTTGGGAGAGTCACCATCTTTAAATTAAACCAAATTCAGCAAAATGTAGTTGCTCCAGCTGACCATAATTTTGGTAAGATGCATCAGGAAACTAGAAGTTCTGCAACTTACTTTTCTTTGCTGTCTGTATTTCTTTGCTATTCTTTGATATCTACTTTCAATATTTCTGCTGTAGCTGGAGTAAACAGTAGATATGATGTAGAAGATAACTATCAGCTCCAGAGAGAAGCCATAATGGTGCAGATAATCCTCTCAGTAAGTAATGATTTCTTGAGATGATAATTTACGTGATGTTTGTGTGTGGCATGTGTATTTAACCAACTGAGCATTTACAGAGGATATATGCATTTTCCTTACAGGTGCTGAGGGTTTTTCCTTTCTGTTCTTTTGGAAGAATGCACTAGAATCTCCCTTTTCCCCGGATTTGGTACACTGAACATATTCATACTGCATTTCTATCAATATGAAGGCCTAAAGAATTCTTTGAAAATGTCTCATTCACTTTGGCCCTGAAGGTTTCTCTGAAAGTCATCAAGTGCACTGACTATCTGCATTACCCAGTTGCTTGTAAAAATTTAGTTCACTGTCATCTCTTCAATTCAGCAACCTAGAATGATGCAGCATAACTTTGAGAAACAGCAGCATTAAATTAGAGATGCAAGCTGCAGACTGTAATATTAAAAACGCGTTCTCCTACTGTGGCCTAATTTGCCTTTTTCTTTTTATGCTGATAATGTATCTGAATCCACACTGTGAGCAGTGTGTAATAAGTTTCTAGGCTTTTGGCATCTTTATGGGCAAACTGAATTCTTTGCAGCTTCAAACAGCAAATGAAATAAGATCGATGGAATTCATGTCTAGATGTGTGACATGGAAATGTGCCTAAACAAATGTAATTTTGCAGCAGGAGCACTTAAATTGTGTTGAGGCTAAAAAACCAGATCTTGCTTAACACATGAATTAATTAACTGCAAAACATTCTTTCTACCGTTGCTACACAAAATAAAGGGCTGGGGATTTGAGTCCTGTAATTCAGCATATAAAACTGCTGTCAGAACCTCTGGCTTAGGAAGCACTGAAACCACAGGATGCTGGAAGTGTAAGTAGGGAAAGGATCACAGCATGCTTGCCTTGCTTGTATACTTTTCCTTAGGCATCTGCTACTGACGGCTGTCAGAGCCGGGATATCCAACTAGATGGACCTCTGGTCTGACCCAGCATGGCCACGCTTGTGATAGGGGCATTTTTGACCTTCAGCCCCTTCCAGGACTCTATCACCACTGAGTATGAATGAAACTGTAACTGAAGTTAATTTTAAAACACTGTTATTCAGGTTTGGAGTCATTTCAAGGTATGTTGTGCTGTCCAAAAATATGAAAATCCGCTGGATATACAGTCCTACTCAGAAGAAGCAAATGTTCACATATTCTGAAAGGATTTGAAGTAAAAAAGAAGTTGTGACCTTCTGATTCAGCAACATGAGATACCTTGATGAGTGTTATACTTAACTCTCTATACCCTTCCAGTGTAGTCTGCTATGTGTGTGGTCAGTTTTACAGTAAGGATCTGGAAATAAACATATTTTCTCATTCTCCTAGTATGTTTGTTTTCTTTTTGGGTTTTGTTTGTTTGTTTGTTTTGTTTTGTTTTGCTTTTGTTTTTAATAGTACATTCTTTGTAGCAATATCCTGTGGCATTTGTGGTTGAAGCACTTAACACAAGGAGTCCCAAGTTTATTTGGGGTCTTTAGATGTTGCTGTATTGCTCACATCTCCAATGCTTTCAGCTGAGGTGGTAGAAGCTAGTTTTTCTGAGAGGATGTACAGTCTACATTAGATGCACCTCTCTTTCCACATCATAGACATTTATGTAAGGCTGTTAAGTGTAAGTTAGAGTTCTGATAGCAATGGAATAAATATTTTATTCTTTTTTTTAAATGATACACCCTCTTTTCTGAATCTCTGCTGTCAGGAAAGCAGGCTTGGCCCCGTATTATTGTCTCTTGGTGAGTGTACAAGAAGAGAGGCCTGAATTTGACACTGTCAAATTACCTTCCTCAGGCCCATGGTCAGGGAAACCGGCCTGGGAGGAACCAAGTGAATCCAGATGTGACCCCAATGGCCGTTCACATTACAGCGAGTTTAGTTTTAGACTGTATAGTGTTTGGACAGAAGTGAGATACGTTGGGCAGATGATGTCAAATAAAGGAACTCTTCGCTGTGAGCACATATTTTTATTCGTATTGACCTTTCAGATGTTTAAAACAATGTTGCAAGGGTGTGACTTCTTGAGCAATGACTGAGCTGTCCTTTTGATTAGTTCTGAGAAATACCAGCTATAATTAAAAATATAACGAACAGTATGGAATGATTTGTCTGGTGCGGGAAGAGCTGTTTATCCTGTGCAGATCCTTTGGTCTGATGGACTGACTGAATTAGGTACAGTTCTCCTTCAAATGCTCTTTGGATAGCATGATCTGAAGGTGGCAAGGGAAAAGGGAACTAAATGTATTCTGTAGTTCACAGAAAAAGGGGAGAATGTTGCAAAGGAAGCAGGAAGTCTGAGAAAGTCTTGATTTAATTTCCATAAATGTTTGTTCTAAAGATATAGCAAGTACCAATATGAAAAAGCTATTAGATCGATCCCATTTTCTCTTCTGGAATTTTGCTGATTACAACTCCTTCTATAACAGTTGGTTTTGGTTTTGGTTTTTTTTTTTCTCTTTTTTTTCCTTTGAGTGCTATTATTCTGTGCAGTTGTATGAGCCTGTATTTAAGCTAATCCAAAGGGGAAAAGAAAATCCTGCAGTCTCAAGAGCACATATCTGGAGGGCCACAGTTTCTGGTAAAATAAAGTTGTTAATGGAATTAGAATCACAGTGACATACTGTGAAAGGCTTCTCTTTATTATACCCCTAAGATTTATGAAGGAAATGGTCCAGACTCGTACAAATTCTTGTGAATACTGAGGAATATATACATTAGTATGCCAGATGACATATCTATATTATATATGCCAGATTAAAGCAAATGAAGTTTTACAGTAGATTTCAGCTGAGATGGCCTTCTGGAGAAGTCTCTTTTTGATAATTTTAAAGCTCTGTTCTATTGATCAGATGCTTGAGAGCAAGAGGTTGAACTAATTCAATCTGAATTAGTTTTATCTGAATGTTGTAAGAGTGTAATCTTTGTCTACAGCAAATGAGGGACATGAATTTACTCAGTTTTCTGAACTTTTCCCTTCTGATATTCATTTCAGATTCTTATACTTTAAGCCACTGTGATTTAGAAAAGTTATGAAATGTCATTAATATTTGTCTTTTTTGTTTGATTTGATTTGGTATATGTTTTTTTAACATGAATTTAGACTTTGGACAAAATATGAGGCTAAAAATGGAGTCAGGTATTACTGTTGTTAGTGATTGTGGAGGTGTTGTGAGGCAACGATTTGCCTGGACACCAGTTAAAAGTGACCTTCTCTCTGGAATTTGGGTAAATTGACTGACCAATGTATAGGAAAATAAGGTATTTTATTACACTTATTTCAGAATGGTTTTCTATGGAGGCATTCTGTTATAGAGCAAAATGTGTTAGTTTAGTAACAAAATTGTTATTTCACAATGTAGTCTGATGTTATTCCAGCAGATTGTATCGGCATGGAAAGGCATTCTGGAATAAGAAAACAAAATACATTGGACTGAATCTTCATGTGGCCAAAATGCTAAGGTTAAAGGGGTTAGTTCATTCCTATTTTGCCTGTATACTGAAATTTCCTGTATGATTGCCAAGGTGATAGGGTGTCATTGACAGAGGGAAATGTCCATTAGGATGTGAAAGAGAATGATTCCTCACTGCTGGTAGATGGGATTATTCTTTTGGGAAGAATTTTCTTCCTTTCTTTGTGTTTGTTTGGTTTTTAATAAAACTATATAAGAAAAATAAGGAATCCAAATATTTAAAAATTCAGTCTGGAGCATTGATCATTATTTTCTGTTTCTGAGTTTTTCTGAAACTCATATCTATCTTGAGCACTTTCATATTCATCTAAGTCCATGAAAATTAGGTTCCTAAATTAGGTGTTTTATTGCTGATTGAGAATGGCATTTTTCTGTTGTTCAGGATAAAATGTCTTTTTGTTCTAACTTGGAGTAAAACTTGATGTTTTTCATGGCATGGAAACTCTGTTAGTATTGAAGCATGCTATGTATCAGTATTTTATGGCAAAGGTGTAAAATAAATGAAGTGATGAAGTAGAAATAAAATGGAAATTAAACAAATACAACAGCAGTTGTTTACTAGAAACTGACACATGTAAGATTTCATCAAAATTGATGGAAGCTTTGGATTTTGTTAAAATTGTTTTTTCCAGAGAATAGTACCTGATCAAATTTTCTCTGGTTTAAAATGTTCTTGCATCAGTATCAGTAGATAATTCAAGCATGAAGGGAACTGGTTACTTGCAGTTAGGTGTCCCAGTCTGAAGACTGTGTCTCCATTAACATCAATGAGGATTAAAGGTGAAACAATACATAGCTGTCATTAGTCATCAGTATCTGATGGTCCATGTAGCTTGGAGATCAAGCATTTGCTTTAAAAAGAATTCACTTCTTCACCCTAAGGAGCACAAACAGCAAACTGTATCGATTCCAGTTGTAATGGGTTTGAATAAAAAGTTTAAAGTCCAAATTGCCTATATAGCTGTGCAAATACATAGGCAAAGTTTTGCATGCAGTATCTACAAGCTCTAGGGCATATCTTTGCAGGGGGACTGTGGGATGGAGGTGGTGAATTCTAGTTCATTCAATCCTGGGGAAACATCTGTGGATATGAAAAAAGAACTCAGTACACCAGATACAGAATTCGAGTCTTGCTGTTGCACTTCTCTTTTCCTGAGATCCCGAGATTTGGTATCTGAAGCAGCTATCAGACCAATATTTGTGGTTAGAAGAGGAAAAAAAAGGCTTTGGTGGGATTTACACATGATATTTTAAAAACAGTGAGAAGGATTGGTGTGAGTAGTAATGAGTGATGAGGCTGTGGAGGGAGAGATCAAGACTGTGGAGGGAAAAGGAAGAAAGGAAGCTTCAGAGATTAGATAAGCAGCCATAATTTTCATGGCATACTTGATCCAAACCTCAGAAGACATTGTGGTTCATATATCACTGGATTTTGACCTGTGCTGGAAATTCTTTTTAGCAGAAATACTGTAATGAATTGGCAAAACCCATAGAA